GGGAGGGGTGAAAAAAGCTGCTTTCCCATTTTGTTGCCAACAAGAACAAAAGCAAAATTGTCCTATGGATATATGCCCAGATTTGTATGAACATATGCAAAGGCCACTTACTTTTAATGAAGTACTTTATATAGTTGAAGTGGGTTGGGGTGATGTGAAGGTGGGTAATAACTCTGAAGCCATTCTCTTTTGATGGACAGTGTTTACTAGTAATAGAGAAACATTAGGGAATAAGGAGAAAATGGTCTTAGCTGGAATTCCATAGTTCACTGACCCATGTTATGGCATTTAGTCCACTGGTCTTGTTCTTTTGTCTTGTGACTAAATTGAGCTTTTTTTTTAAATCCATATTTGGATCCATGCTGTATTTTCTAGAATATTTTCACCAAAATCAAAGGTGATTCAAAGGGAAAATCATAGTTTAGAACTTGAGGACTTGGTGAAGGTTTGGATTAGCATCACAGTTTCGTCTTTTGAATTTTTTTTAACCAGGTAAGGAGAATTTCCCTTAAAAACTCTACAGATTCAAAGATGCTATGGTAAAGCCAATGGGAAAATATAAAATTCAAAGGCAGGATGTTCTAGAAGATAGTGCAAGGCTAGCTGGTACACCCAATGGAGTGCTAGTGTTTTCACAAGATTTCAGCATGCTCATGGAAAGCTTCACCATAATGGCTGCCAGAGGCAACGCTACATCAGAGAACACTGTAGCTTGCTAGGTCTTTTCCTTTTCCAATATAATCCCCACAGATAAAAGGTTATCATTCAAAATGAGCAAAACATAACTGAAAAACACTATTTAGAATGTTCAAAACTCATCTTCTGACGGTGGAAGTATGCTATCTTAGTTACTCCTGGCAAGATTCATACATTTACTTGCAGACATTTTTAAGAGCACACCAAAAATGTGGCCGAATTTATGAGATTTTAGTTTCCTTCCAATTATTACACTACTTGAGAGTACATGGGATTTAGAACAGGTAGCCTTAAACTTAATTATGATGACTTCATGAAAATGGCATATTATTAGACTAACTAGAGAACTAGAATAATAATTTAATAATAAATGCTAGCAAACTACTCTGAAAAGATGTCATACCACTTTATTCTTTGTCTACACATTTTATGGAATAAACAAAAAATAAGGGTTGACCCAATAATGGAACATTTAGAATCATTTTCTGTAGTCTAACATGTCAGTTTAGAAAGTTTAAAAAAGTTATTTCCTCACTCATAAGCTTGAAATAAAACTTCACATAGGTAATGAATTACAAGGAGTTGAATTTAAATCATAAAAAAAAACACCCCCACACAAAAAAAACAAAAAAAAAGGGCTCTTAAAATTCCTCCATTTGTTACTTTACCTATTTGCCAGGCTTTTTTACCATATAACCTAATAAAACATGGCTGTACACTCTCATTCTGCTGGTAGCATCTATATATAAGAAAGTGCAATTTTTTTCACACACTAATAATGTAAAAAGCAGGATGTATTTCCAGTTTTTAAATGCTTTTATTTACTTATTTCTAATATCCTGGCAGGCACTGTCCATAGAACCAAGGCCTTGCACAAGCTAGGCCAGTTATCATTGACTTACAAGTTGAAACAGTTTAAAAAAAATTATACCCATCTATAGAACCTGGATTATATCGATTTTAGTCCTAGAAAATGGAACTCATCTTTGAAAAATTCCTTTGTCCCAAGTCAAACTAATCTATTTTTCTAAACCACTAGGCCATAGGATAAGAAAGGTAGAAGATTTTCACTAAAAAAGAAAAAAATTACTTATATTTAACCACTCATAACCAACACACATGCGGTATACAGTTGCATATGTAACTGTATGGACAGGTACAGCAATCACTTTTGAATGATCAAATATTTTTTCTTCTTTTGAAAATAAACACTGATGGGGAATTCATAAAAGCTCTAAAACAAAGGCTGTATACTTATATGGAATCAACTTCTTTAATACTATACAAATCTTTTTTCATTAAAAAAAATTTAGTGGCCATTCAATCACAAATTGATTGGGGAAAGTGAAATTCTAGTCTTATTGCCATTTTGAGCTTCATTATAATTATCTTATTTTAAATGTTATAACTTGCTAGCCAGCTTCTTTTTCCTTTTAAGAAAGGGAAAACATCTTTGAAAATCTATTTTTACAACCTGGACTTGTAGGTTTATAGACATCTAAATACCAGAGGAAGTTCACAAAATAACAGTCATTTCAAACTAGAGGCGATACAGTTTTTGTGTATTTTTTTTGTTCTCTCATTTATTCAAATTCACTGCAGGAAGTAAACACTAAAAGATTAAAAAAAAACAAAAAATTCACACTGCAGTATGTACAGTTTCAAGACATCACATGAAAAATTAAATTCCTAATAAAAATGACAAATTATATTACTGAGCAGATCGCATCACAACTGGCTTTGTAAACCCCACATTTCTTACCATGAATGGTAATGTGCCTGTATTCCAGTATTTGCTAGAATACTCCTGGTATAATATTATGTTTCCAACAGGATTTAAAAAATTCATGAAAGTGAATTGATTTGGAAAATAAAAATTAAGACCCTTGGATTCAAAGCACATTCTTTCACAAATCTTAAGCCACAGAAGTTATATCCAGAAATGGAATACTGTCATGATGCGATGAACATCTGATCTGACTTAAGACATTTTGCCAAATGCACAGATGCACAGGGTTCCCCATGCGCTTTTCATGCAGCAGGTAATCACAACTTAAATAAAAGGTTTATTCTATACATTTGTCCAGACTTGCAACTGTATACATACATGCACAATTTTTAAACCTGTCTGATTATATTTACACTTATACATGGAATATACAGAAACCAAAGTGGATTAAAAGGCTTTTCTGTTGCATTAGAACAATACAAAATATGTATTTCTCATTAAGGAAATCACTATTTACATCACCTTTAAAAACCAATTTTAACATCTTCATGTAACAAGTCAATATATATATATACATATTATATATATATATATAAAATATATACTCTCACCAGTTTACTCTTCTATATGTAGTAGCAGAGAATAAACAGGTAATGCTACCATACTGATGTCAATGAAAGCTATAGTACCCTTTCACAAACGACTTTATTAGCAAGAAATTGCCTAGGTATCTAAAATAGTCCTTGAAAATGTGAATATGTGCATTCTTGTATCTACATATGTATAAACAAAGTGGATCTGTGGATGTATGCCTTTGCTCAGTGCTCTTCTTTAAAAATCACTCTAAATTGAAATTGGGAATATCGTGTAGTAAATCAGAACAGCATTTTTTTTTGCAGTCATATTTATTTCTGTATTACATACCCTCATTCCTTTAATTGTTAACAAAAATAACCAACCAACTAAAACAAACCAACCAACAAACAAACAAAAAAAAAAAGCACTGTTGGCTCTGGTTACTTTCACCCCACCTGAATGTCACTCTCTTGTTTAAGAGAAATATTCGGAGGAAGAAGAATTTTCTGAAACACTTCTAAGTCTCTAGACCTTTTGCAATGACCAAGAAAAATGATTCACTTCAACGCTTGTTTATACAGGATAGACATTGAGATTGTCACAGTATGGACATGGAGAATAAATTCACTGGCCAGTGGAATTTTCATGTCAGAACAAGCATGTGCCTTCACCTCTCTATAATGTAGCATCAGATACACTCCTGACTATTGTGAGATATCCAGTAACTATGTACAAGTCACTTTGAGAAAAAAAATATTTAGACTTTTAGATCATATTAGGAAAAAATGTCTATTTTTAATATAAAAAATCTTAGAAACAACATCAAGTAGAACAACTTTTAATTTCCTACCCATTAATAATTGCCTATACAGTAATTTTTTGACAGGCCAGTTGCTTACCTGGTTCACAATTGTAAACAAAAATACGTGTGTGTGTGTCTGTGTGTGTATATATGTCAACTATGGATTGTAAAACTTGAACTTAAAAATATTTATTTCCACAATGAAATCCCATGTGGCTCAATAATGTTCTATAACTGTCAGTTTTCTTTGCGTCATTGTTTAGAAGGAATAGATCCAGGGGAGTGACTGTACATTCGGAATGTACATTCTGTCATGGATAAGTGCCCTCTGTTCTTTTGCTTTAGTCAATCTCAGTTTTAGTGCCTTTCTTGAGGTTGAACTAAATGCTTCTAATATTTGTCAGCATTGTTCATAGGACAATGGTCTTAATAGAAGATAAGGATGTATTCAGGAGAAGTTTCCAAACCATCCTGGAATCACCTGAGTTTGGTAAGTGGCCCTGTTATTCCATCCCTAAGGCTAATTAAGTAGATGTTACTCATTAGAACACATAAATAATCACAGATTTTCCTGAGATGTTGAGCCAGATATGAAAGTTGTCCCCTCTACCCAATTTTTTTCTCATAAAAAGTATTCTGAACCCGATTTCCAAAGACAAAACGAACAGCAATATAGGAACTACAATAATGCAAATTTTGAGTTATGTGTAGCTGTATTGGGGAAAATATAGGCATCAAATAGTTTTACAGTCCCATGTTCTGAGAAAAGTCATAGCAATGGTTTTCAATCATCGGTATGCAGAAGAAACACCTAGGGAGCATGCTAAGACGCAGATGGAAGAGTCCCAGATCCACTTAGCAGAGATCCTCGTGCTTGTAGCTCTGAGATGCTGCCTATGAATCTGCATTTTAAAGCAAGTGCTCCAGATGATTCCAATACAGATAGATGGTCTGAGTCCAGCTTTAAGAAATCCTGCTCATAAGACTCACAAGGTACCATAGGAATGGTGAGAACTTTTACAAGAGATGGTGCAAATTGTCCAAAGAAAAACCATTTTGCTTTTATTAAAAACAAATTCATAAATAGTCAACAATTCAGGAAACCACCTGAAGATAAGTGTTAACTTTCCAAATTCTGTAAAAGGAGGAGTATTAATTTAGTAAAGTAGTTAAAATACAAAAATGGAAATCTGCCTGTTTTTTTTAAGGATCTATCAAACTGCCTTCTTTTGTAATCAATTTTTACTAAATAGTACAAGGTTTTAAAGAAATATATATTGAAAAGGTCTGAGGTGGAACAGACACATTGAGAACCACAAAACCACCTCCAAGAGTTAAAAATAAATGTGTTCTTTTTTTCTGTTTTTGTTTTTTTTTAGCAAAAGTGAAAAATGTATGTTTTTTCCTAATTTATTCTTGAATTGAAAATGAGAGGTGAATCAGAGCTTTTTTTTAAAATTTAATAATTATTCTTTAAAGAGTTAACTGTTTGGACATTAAAAATGTTATGTAGACTGACTTCTGAGATGCAAAATAAAGTACCCTCATAAAGGCAGCAAAATGCATTGATCCACTAGGATGGAGTTTTACATTTCAATTTATGCCTCTTATTCATTATTACAAAAGATTTTATTCATAGGCTACTCACAGTTGTTCTCTGATGCATACAGAAGTGTTAAACAACCAATTGCTAGTTCAAATAGTTTCCTCATGACATCTAATGTTAAGCAAAAATTAGTATGCATATTTAAACATCACCAGTAACCAGTACTTTTCAAAATGAAAAAAAAAGTTTCAATTATACCATGCTTGTCTCAAATCATGCTCTTATTTATACAGATCTCAAGTTCATACTAATTAGTTTTAAAAAGATCTGGGGCTGGATGATGGCAGCTACATTTTATTCTGATTCCTTTTTTATTGTTAGCACGTTTCCCAGAAGTCCATAAACTTCTCCATTTGCACTGTGTGGGCGAGAAGCATTATTTCCCATATGGCTATTGTAAGGGCTTCTTAAATTAAAGAAAGAAGCTTTAGTTTCTGCAGGAGGAAGTAACTCTTCCTTGACTGTAACTTGTGAGACACTTTCAGTAGATGAAGACTCCCTCCAGATGTCCTTGTCCTGTGTCTCTTGACTGGTAACAGCAGTGCCTCCCTTCTGAAGCATGTAATACAGTATTGGATTTGTTTTGGTCAGTCTTGGAGAGTCTTTTTCATACTCATTCTTATCCACATCTGTGATAACCCACTTAATGGGCCCCTTCTCACTAGTCATGGTACACCCATTCAAAAGCCCAGGTTCTAGCCTAGACCCTGAACAGCCCAAGTGCTCAGGGAAAGAAGGGCTCACAGGAGTTTTCATCAATCCTGGGTATGGAAATGTCCTACTATCCACACAACTGTTGGGTTGAGTGTTGCTGTACATCAGTCCATTTAAAGAAGAAATGCTGAATTCAGGTTTGCTACTGGTCACATGATTTTTGTGTCCCTTTTTTTTAATGTCCATGACAGAGTTACTCCTGTGTGGGGACAAATCTCGCACACAGTTTTCTGAGAGAAGAAGCTGTTTTAGAACATTGAAGCTTTTGCTCTCTCTGACCCAACTCCGATGTTCATTGTCGCTGGTGGAAGCATGACCAGAAGGATACTTAAATTCAAGATCATTTCTGCTCAGTTTTAGCTCTTCCTGGTTAAGCAAGGGCCCATAGAGTACTTCTGGAGCACTGTGATTATTTGCAGCATCAACAAGGTTGTTTTTCATTTTTTTAAATGGACTTTCTAATGGCTCAGTATAAAGCTTCCTTTTCTTAGGAACGGTGCAAAGACTCTTTGATTCTGGAGGTGCCAGTTCACTATTTCTATGATTCTTGTCTGTATCATCGGCTGTGTAACTCTCTTGGTTCTGTCTCAGCAATCGACTTAACAGACCATTTTTCGAGAAAGAAAAGTCCTGAGGTGAACCAGGCTCGGACTTGAAGTCCTCGGACACAGGTAAGGCAGTTGCGCTTCTCTGCATGGAGGGAGTCCTCCCTAAGAACGGGGTGGTCTTGGCATCATGGCTCAAGTGCATGTTGGTGTTATGAATATGTAAGTCATCGCTGGGTTCCGATTTTATTTTCACCATCAATATTTGTTCATTTAAAGCTCTCTCTCCATGCTCCTGGGTGCTCTCATCTCTTAGGGATGGTTTCTCTTTCTTCTCACTCTTCCCTTTATTGGGATTTCCCAGTAGTAACTGGAGGACAGTACGTCTTTCTAGCAGGTTTTCTATTTCAGAACCAGAAAGTCCTGGTTCAGGACCTGTTGGTTGGCTACTAAAAGACTTATTTTCTTCAACTGCATTTGTTTTAGTTGAGAGCAGAGGGCTATTTATTCTGTCAATCATACCTACAGTTTTATCTGTGTTTACACTTAACAGCGGTTTGCTAGGTCGTGGCTCTTCAATTGGCATGGAAGACTGCATTCCACACTGTGCCAAATTCTGTAACAGTTTACTGGCACTGAAGGTTGCAGAATTCTGTGCACCTTCATTTGGCGCTGGTTTCTCTCCTTGTGATTCTTTGCTTTTTGAAAGGTCCATCAAGTGGTTAGATGCAGTGTTTGTCAGGTTTTCAGATGGTGTACCACAGGAATATGGTGGGGAATTCCACTTGATGACCAGAGAGTGTTGAGAAAGATTGATGGGAGAGTCTGCTTTGGTTGCTGTGTGTAATGGTGGAGTGCTCACTGGAGTAGTCCTGTTAATACTGGGGCTTTCTATCACCGAAGTCCTTGTATAATTTTGTGTACTGAATTTTGTCACATCGCTGTGTATTCCCTGAGGGCTGGTGTTTGTTTCTACATTTTCTTCATTTTTATGGCCAAGAAGTAACTGAAGAAGTGTTACCTTCTGGTGTGAATTTAGTTTAGAATTTTTTGAGGTATCTTGCTCTTTGATATCCATTTCTGGGACTTTTGGATCCCAGGTGTTTAGTAAGGACTGAGTTAAATTATCAAAAGAGACAGGTTGGTCAGATTCAGGTTTTTCTATCCGGTGCTTACAGGACAAGTCTATGGGAACACAGTTGGAATATGAACTTTCATCACCACTGCTGTCATCTGTAAAACTTGGGTTGTTATCTGAATATTCATCCATAGTGGTTGGTGTACTACTATCCTCAAAAATGCTTCCTCTCTCATTCTGGCTGTGTCCATTCATTGGCTTAGGTATGGTCTGGCTTTTAAGAAGATGTAAAAGCAAACTACTGTTAGCAGCTTGCTTTATATTGTTTCGTTCCAGGGAGTTCTTATAGCCTGAACTTTTAGGGGAAGAAGGAACAGTACCCATTGGATTTTGAAATGTCGCAGCACTGTTTTTGCTACCCATCACCTTGCTTGAAGATGTTCTTGCCTGACCATTAAGATGGCTTGTCATTCCTTTTGACAGCTGAAAACTGCTGACATCCTTCTGACCATTTTCCTGTAATCTGGCCATGGCAGCAAGTCTTTCACTTGCTGCCTGATTTGCATTTTGGGTTTTTAAAGCGTGTTCCCGAGAATACTGCTGCAGATGGGCTTCGCTTGAAAGGAGCAATGCTAGCTGACTACAAGCAACGCTAGGTTTCGGTGATGTGGCAGGACTAGCCCTTTTCTCCACCATGCTGGCGACAGCCTGCAGCCGTGCGGCACATGACAAGGGTTCACTCAAGACTTTTGTTCCACTCTGTCCCCCAGGATGAGGCGACTCCACAAACCTGTCTCTGATGAGGTTTTTAGTTACATCAGGAAGACTGGTATCAGGCTTTTGATCTTTAGCTTTACTTTTCTTCAACAGAGTTTTTAAGTGACTGGAGGCAACACCATAGCACCTTAAATCCTTCTCTACTTTTAGAGAATCATGACTGAGGGCATATCCTTGCTCCTTGAGGCTCTGCCTAATTTGTTGTGACAGAGCAACAGTCTGCAGCCTAGAGCTGAATGACTGAAGCAAAGAGGCCAGTAATGTGCTATCCTGTTTGCCTTTAGGCACCGTGTCAACCATGCCAGCTAGCAAAGCTTCCTTCTTTACATTTAAATTCACGATGGAATCAGACAGCCTCTTCCGCTTTGCTGCATTCCAGTCCTCAGAAGACTGCAACAACCTGGCTTTTTTGAGATGCAGCATGCCAGATCCCTGGTAAGTATGTGTATTGGGAACTGGACCATTACTTTGACAGGTGGGAAATGCACTGCCAGAAATGTTAAAGTTCTGATCGTCTTCATTGTGTCCAGCAGACTTTTTGTCGACGGCGGTGCCTGATCCCCCCGCTGCCTGATGCATTAGTAATCCTTCTAGGTAAGTTAAAACTATAGAATCCTGATGCACATCAGAGCCAAGCTCTTCTCCATGAGTCATGTTCAATAGAAGTGTTCACAGGGGCTTGGTTTCTAGTCACCTTAAAGAATGTTTTTTTTTGTTGTTGGTGGTGGTGGTGGTGGAGGGGAGCAAGATGTAACTTTAAAAAGCAAGTGACAGTTTATCACTTTCCATAGCAATTAGACAGAGCTGTGCTGTTACATTCTGACCAGAATTTCCTCTGGCAATGGAAAGACAACAGGCAAGTAAACTTGATTGCAGTCTGACCACAGCGTTGATCAACTTCCCAATAAGAAGCTGAGGAATCCTGTAATATGTAGGTATGTAGTAGCAAGTAGATGTCTTAACGAATATATTGGTTTTCTTTCTTCATTTTTAATTCTTCATCAAATGCAAATAGCAGTATTCTAAAAATAAAAATGAAAATAGTTAAGGAATAAGTAGAATCATGGTCTCTCAGTAAGCAAAAGAATGTAGATTTACTAAATATACACATATGCAATACACACATGTATACACATCAGTCACTTCTTTAGTAATTTACTTTATAATTCCTTATCCTGGAAGTCCATGAGTTAGTCCACAATCTTACATAATCAACACATTTAGAAAAGAGGAAAAAATGGTTTGTGACTTTCAAAACCCATCAAAATTTTAAATATTCATGACAATCTTGCTGTGAATTAATGTGGATGTTAAATTTGCTTTCAAGTTTTCTGTCTCTTTAAGGGAACTAGAATTTATTCCCTTATATTACTGGGTGCTTAGGAAGAAACATAAGGAAATGTGCTTAAAAAGGACAATGAAATAATATAGCATGATGTACGTGATACAACAGAACACATTCACCTCAAACATAACCACACACCAAATATTTAATAATTTTTCAATTTAACATAAATGGAAGAGTCAAGAAGTAGAGTAAGATTAACATGAAAATCCAAGTGACATCTAACTGTCTTTGTCCCTTGTTATGTATCTTAAAGGTAAAGATACACATAGTAACTCTTGCTTATAATTCCAGTTACTCAGAAAGTGTAAGTCAGGAGGATTGCAGTTCAAGTCAAAGACAAATTACTCACACTTAAAAATCCCAGTTATTTGGGAAGATGTGATCCTAGGCAAAAAGTATGAGACTCTATCTGAAAAATAACAAAGCTCAAAAAGGGCTGGGAGTGTGGCTCAAGCAGTGGAGCACCTGACTAGTAGGTGCGAGGCTTTGAGTTCAAACTCTACTATGACTAAACAAGACAAAAAAACTTAAAGTGAAACAGAAGAATAAAATCATTGGAGCACTTTTGGGTTAATCACATTACTCATAAATATCTATATTACTCAAAATAATATAATTCCTAAGTTTCCATATATCACTCATTTCTTAAAAAAAGAATGAGTACATTTTTCAATTTACAAAGGACTACAGACTGTTTTAACAGGGACTACCATAGTTTCTGTCTTCAAAGAAGACAGATGAATAAAAATCCCAGGAAAACAAAATGACTCTTAAGAATGTTAAATATATTGGGTCTATGGCCATGCTAATCATTTGTAAAGTGTTAACACCCTCAAAATGTAACTGAAAGTAACAATACATTTTTATACTTGTACACATAATGAGCTTCTCCTCTAAAAATATGGCTAAGTATGAACCTGAAGCAAGTAAAATGGTAAATGTAAAAACACACACAATCAGATCATCACGGTAAGCCAAAGGAATGGCAGGGCAAGGGTATACTAAATATGTAATTTACTAATCTCATATAAATCAATACAATAGAAGTTATTGGACTCCTAATCTTGGAGACCTGTTCAAGGACTAAGGGATTATGTCAGTTTAAGGACTAGGGGAGATGTTATAAAGAAAATGGAGATGATCAAGCAGGCAAATCTGTCCTCAGTTTCTAGACTGTTCCTAATATAAATGATTTCTTTTTCCCCACCCATATTATTTCTTTTCAGGTGACATTCTTCATCAATAAGTACAAATAAATTTTAAAAGTTAATATGATTACCATAATATAATGCTAACTGTATATATATATATATATACACACACAAATATATATATATATATATATATATATACTAAATTATCATACTTTTTAGAAAAGTGGATATGAAAGAAAATTTAGAACAACTTTTTTTGGGGGGGTCCAGTCATGGGGCCTGAACTCTGGGCCTGGGCACTGTCCCTCAGCTCTTCAGTTCAAGGCTAGCACTCTACCACTTGAGCCACAGCGCTACTTTCGGCTTTTTTCTTTCTGCTTATATTGTGCTGAGGAAATGAACCCGGGGCCTCATGCATGCAAGGCAAGCGCTCTACCACTGAACCACCTTCCCAGCCCTAGAACAAATTTGATGGGAAGAATAATTGCAAAAATACTCTAAAGTCAAGGTGACTATTTTTCATTAATTTTGTTGAACAGACATGCTATGGAAAGCAATGATGATATGAAGCAGTGGAGAAAAATGGGTTTGTCCGGAAAGTTAGTTTTTTTTTAAAAAAAATAACATGAATTTATAAATCAAAGGCTGTGGTTATCTGGAGAGCTTGCCTGAAGTTATACCACGGCCAATATGTACTACCACCCTACCAGAAAATGAAATGTCCAAGAAAGCAGTTGTTCTGAAACTATGTAAGGTCTGAAATAGTTAGATTCGAAACTGAAAGGTCTTTCAGGGGTAGAATGAGCCAAATTTCTTCATATAACTTATTTCTTTTAACATCTTACACAATTAAAAAGGAAGAAGTCATTATCATCCCTGTTCACATTTGCATATCATAGTTTTTCATTTCTATGGTACAAAATGTAACTGAGAAATGCTAAAAAGAGGTATGATATTGGATATAGTATAGATCTTCACCAGTGACAATTACCACCTAAGAAACATTGTAAAGTTAAAAATGTTACTGTTTTCAATATCATCCTGACTCAATGTCTACAGTAAAGGATGACGATGTTTTGAAGAACTAGGAAAGTATACCTCTATGTGTGTCTGTGAGGAGATCTGCAAAGAATGTGGATGAATGTATTGCATGGGTTAGGGACCAAGACAGAATGAAGAGTGGCAAAGAGAAGGCTAAGTATCAGACAATGTCTGCCCTCTGTGACTCTGCTACCTGGCTACCAAAATGCAAAATTTTCTCTTTTTTTTGGGTCCGGTCATGGAACCTGAACTCTGGGCCTGGGCGCTGTCCCTCAGCTCTTCAGTCAAGGCTAGCGCGCTACCACTTGAGCCACAGCACCACTTCCGGCTTTTTTCTTTTTGCTTATGTGGTGCTGAGGAATCGAACCCAGGGCCTCAGGCATGCAAGGCAAGCGCTCTACCACTGATCCACCTTCCCAGACCTAAAATGCAAGATTTTCTGCCCTACATCATCTTCCCAACATGATGGACCTCTGAGGCTATAAGGGAAAATAAATCTTTCCTCCTTTTGCTCAGGTATTTTGGTGCAGTGACAAGAAGTCTAATACAGTTTCTAAGACAATAAAATGGAGAAACACTTTAAAGATAGAAATAGTAAAATTCCTAAAATTCTATCACTTACCTTCAATTTATGAAAGGTTCCAATAGATGCAATATTGCTAATAGCAAAGTATACTTTATTATATTAAAATATATTCATAATAATTTGTTTTGATCATCCATGGGGCTTGAACTCAGGGCCTAGGCCCTGTCTCTGAGCTCTTTTGCTCAAGGGTAGCAGTCTACCACTCTGGTTTTCTGATGGTTAAGTGAAAATAACCTAAGTATTAACATAATAATCTAATAATAAATAATCTAAGTATTAAGATTATGTCAAAGTCGTTTTTATTGAATCTTTTATTTCAACAATACAATGCAAGGCAAATAATTTAGAGAACTCTTGGTGTTGTCTTAAGTCAAGCTATGAAAAGAAGTTTTAAAAGTTAAACAGGAAGCAAAAACCCAAGAACAATTTAAATCAGGATGTAACAGCAAGCATTTCATCCAAATGGATGACACAGCATTCCAAAACAAGAGCCAAATAAATTAAGAGCAATAAAACTCAATGCTTCATCTCATAGAACAAGAAAGAAAAAGGTATCATTTTAGAGAAGGATTCTAAAGCTTCATTCGAATGTGAAGACTAGAGAAGGATTCTAAAGCTTCATTCGAATGTGAAGACTTTGTATTTAGTGAAGAAAACAAAAATGAAGACTACATTTTTCCTCTATTCAAAATTAAATGTTAGAAAGCTGTTGGATGTAAAACAAATAAGAAAAGTAAGGAAAACATTCAAGTGTTGCCAGGGCACAATGGAAAATAAAAATGCAATAGAAGAATAAGTGTGAATATTTATGTATTAGAATACATTTCTAATTTATTGCAAAATGAATCAAAATCAGCGTATATCTTTTTGAGAAAGTTTGAATCCCCAAGACAGTAACTTTCTGTTGAGGAAATGTCTTTACCAAAAGACACAGGTATGGCTATACAACTTAATAGGCACAACAAAAAAGAAATGAACCTATTTAAAACAAAAGAAATGAACCTATTTAAAACATTTTTACTCAACTGAGTCCTACCATTTGAGATTAGCCCTTAGAAGCCTTACCTTTCCATAGCTTCTCACTTTAGGTATGAATATGCTTCAGAGACAGGTAGCACAACGAAGGCACTGGCATTGTAGCCAGAGGAATAGCTGCCCGAACTGCTCTCTACTGCAACCTGAAGGATTTAACAGATTTTTGCCCAAGGCCAAATTTGCTCCCAACTTCCAGGTCCATCAGCTTTAACTTGTCAGCTACTTCACAGGACTAAAATAGGTGGCAGTCATATTTCCTAGTCTAAAAGAGACTGGAGACACTACTGCATGACTAACTAAAGCGTTCAACCAAAGGACTTAAGTCTATGAGATCTTCTTCATTTTTGTGATTCCAAGTAATCTGTCAAACTGGAGTTGATAAAAATGACAAGTATTTTAAACAGAAAGATGATATGCTGTTACAGAGTGGTACAAATTGCCCTGACAAATATGTTTTATGGTCTTGTTAGTGAATTTCTAGTGGAAAGGGAAGGTTTTGAGATGGCCATACACCCAACCTACCAAATTCCAGAATGTTATTTACCACCCACTATCTTTTTTTTTTGTCAGTAGGATCACAAAATTTCAAGCACGTTTACTTACATATGAATTTATATTCAGACAAGAAATCTTGCCCATCTCATATTGTCTATATAGTAAGTAAAATATAATCTTATTAACATGATCCATGAGGAAATAGTCAAATGTTAAGAGATGAATTAATTGTCCTGGTATCAGAAACGAATAGTTCTATAACTAATACAATAAAATAATACAGGATTTATTTTTTCTCAATTACCCTCAGAAGGGTATGTATATGACTCAGATTCAACAAAACTGTGCTGGCTATCTAGTAAA